CACTCTAATCATATGCTTTTCTTTTATCAAGTAATGAGGTTAACCTATTTCAATTAGTGAATTTGAAATTTACTCCCATTTATTCTAGAGAGTGTCGTCTGAGTAAATTTACCTTGTAATTGTCAACAGTTTCACTAGGTTTCTTTTGTACTGTATAGGTATGGAACTAGAAAAGTGTATTGACATACAGATTTGCTTATTTTGTACACGCTTCTGCAAAGTGACCTATTTCCGCTTCTCATGTTATTCTTCGCATGTGAAGGCAAATGAAGGATGTATATTGTTGAGATTGCTCAGTAGTTCATTCTTATGCATATTCTGGCAAGTGAAAACGAACGTGCCATCCACTTGTCGATGACATCCTTCAGTGGTCCGTTCTCCAGTTTTGCCAGAGAGAAGTCTACAATGATTGAGTTCATTGCGAATGCATCCACTTGTCAGTAACATACATTATTGAAAGCAAAGTGTAAATTTTTTGTGCACGTGAGAAGTAATTCCTTGAAATTTGACTCAGGAATTCCGTAGTTGATCTGTTTCTTTACCACTTTTTGACATATGAAATCAACTGTCTCAGTGAGCTATACGTAGTGGCAACACATCTAATGATGCCATACCTTTTTCCACTCACATTCACCTCTGTCACTTTGGAGATGGAATCAAAGACATCCATCGTACTATGTTTTATAACTAACTAGTTTATGATGGGGTCCTAAGATCTGGATCAGCAATTTTGTCGCTGCGTTATGGTGAGTTATACAGATGTAATACAACGAGGAGGAGTTCTGGGTTTTTGGATTTCAGGCAGACCATAAAGCCATGGTATATTTACAGCATGTGGGCTTCAGTAATTCTTGGAACGCTTTTGAGGTTATATCTGTTTGTTTCAGTTCTTCAAGACAGTTACTCAGTCGCTTTTCCTCTTCTGCATTCAAATTTCCAGAATTAATTAGCTCATGAAACTTAGTTTGATTGCCTGGAAGAGAATTCACTTTGTCTATACGATCTGTTTTGTGTAACAACTCTGTACTTCGTCTCTTATCGGACTTACTCGTAATTAGCTTTCTAGCCTTTCTGAGCTTTTGTTTCATCAACAAGATGTTTCCAGAACTCTTACCATTTTTGTACTTTTTACAGCTGTCGACTAACGTAGCTTTAACCTAGTCAGTTCACCATCTGACGACACAACTAAGTCAAATGTTTGAGGAAATAAGTTTTCAAGTAGCATATCCGTACCTAGTTCACCAATATTCTGTGTGTCCTCACTAAATTTAGGGTCTAGATATAAGTATTATAATTGAGGCTTACCTGGTACAACTCCGGAAAAGTTGTGAACATACTGATTTGGGTCAAAAGAAGTTTTTATCGCTGGTCTAAGGTTTTCTAGAGATTTGCCGAGGTTTATTCTTTTCTTCTGTGCCCTGTTTTGTGTGACGACTTACATAACCAAAAAACATTAATTCCAATTCATAGGGAAGTTCATCAACTGAAGACCTTTGCTATAATTTTGTTTCTAGCGTCAATATACGCATTTTAAAAGAGTCCATTTGATTGAGTGCATCTCTTTAAGGTTTCTTGGAATTGGGATAAAACTTTCTTTGTCTTAAGGACCGTGCGATAGTTTGGAATAAATATCATTCGCTTTCTGCATAAAAATAATTTCCACCATCGTTTTTCCTCCAATGAGTTTAGCTTTATACCTCAGAAAACCCATTGAGCGCCTTAAATGCAACAAAATCGTCACGAACTTCATTAATTGAAATAGGTTAACCTCATTACTTGATAAAAGAAAAGCATATGATTAGAGTGGGTGAGAAACTTGAAGTGGGAACTACTCGGAAGAAACTACTATTCATAAAGCTACAATTTAATGAGGGTGTACTTAGTGAAATCCTGTTCCACAGACTACCGAGGACCGCTAACAGAACATTTTATGCAACTAACCTCTGTCTATTGTTTACTAGTCGACGAATTGTTTCGTGTGAAACAAAGGATAAGTTACCAACTTCTGCCAATTCCATGTGTATTTATCAATTTGATTGTTCCTGTGAAGACAGTTAAATCGTACGTATAACTAGGCAACTTAACCAACATATAACCGAACACCTACCACCTTCATGGCTGGTCAAATCTATAAGAAGCTCTGTTCTATCGCATCTACTTCATAATGATCATAGAGTAGATAAAATGAAAGCGTTCAAGGTGACTTACCACATGCCGCCGAACCTTTCCGATGGAGCTCGAGCTCGCCTTTTAAGCATAGCTGAGACTATGGGAATTTGAATGAACAATCCGAATATCTGTATTGGGAGTAAATTTGTGGAACCTTTATTCCTGTCTTGGACAGGAAAGACTTAGTGGATGACCTTATCTATAAGCTTTTAATATGTTCCTCTTCCCCCTTTTTTTGTTTAAGTTTTGTCATTCCTTTCACACCACCACTATATTCGCATTCAAACTTCACCTATCCACTGCTTTCATCTTCCAGTATTACACAACCTTGTTGCCCTCTACCAAACTCTGATCTACTTTGTCTGTGTGAAGATCTGTTGGCATTGCTATGCCATTCTCAGCATTCGTTCATTATTATTTCTACCATTAACTGTGTAAATTTCTGTGCCAGGTGAGCTAGACAGATATCGTGGTGCTATCTTAAACTAGAATACTTAGATCGAGTTTCTAGGGATTAAGGAGACTCGTTCAGGTTTTTAGAAGGTGTTTACTTGGTTGGTAGTCAGATAATGAGGAAGATATGCAACTTTGTGTAGATCACAACTTGTTTGCATCACGTGCCAACTTCGAGCACAGCGGTCGCTGTTGTACTACTTGACGTCCTATTTCTGCCACCTAACCCTGAGCTGAAAAATAGTACATTGCACTAAGATACCAATGTCATGGTTGTATTCAGGGCTTCCGTTGTATCTAGAGCACCTGTCTGAACTTATCACATGTCATTGTGTGCTAATTTCATTTCGGTTTTTGTTGTTCATCAGAATCATCGTCTGAAATAGGTTGACATAAGTAAACTAGTTGCACTTAGCGTTGCGACAATATACGAAACTGAGTTATCTTCTAGGGTCGCTGTCACACCTCTCAAAGTTATAACTGAGTATTGTCTGCAATTAGGAGACGCCATGGGAGCGGAGAGTAAAGCTGTGTGACTTTTAAGAACGTTGTGCTCGAAAACATAGTGGGTTTCTAGCTGCTCCTAGGAATTTCTTGACATTAGTTGGTGTATTCCGACCTACGATGCATGCAATAGTATACATAAATCTCCTACACGACAAACTGAACATCATTTGCATTAGAACTACGAGGTCTGGTGATCAGAGCGCATGAGTGAGATGGAAGCAGCAGCTGTATCTGGTAACATGGAAACTATTCAAGTGCATCCAAGCCATCATCATGTAGCAAACAGTCTGCTGTTGGTGAAACGGTGTGTGGAGTAGACAGTATACGAATGAACAGGTTTCATTGACGCCTGGAAAGGTGATGGGAGCACTTCAGTTGACCTACTGCTGTAGTAACATTGACCTCAATGTTTTGTACTCCGTAGCCAGTCCATCTAAGTAAGTGGCGGTTCGCAAGGAACTCTAAGTTCTAGAGGGTCATCAGAAACGCTGCTCAAACGGCCCACCCATGACTCTGTCTAAAGTTGTGGGTGAGACCTTAGTTCATGAACTGATTACACTTTCTGTGAAGGCATGGCAGCCTGTGACCCTTCCATCAATCTGGAATTAAGCCATTGTTGTACTGACTTTAAAAAAGCTTAAATAATATATGTGATAATCGTTGGCGCATCAGTCGGCTACAGGTAGTACCTAAAGTGTTGTCTACTACCATACTTTACACTGCAAAACTCATAAGTTCCAGTCACCAGAAATAGACCGGGTAGCTTCCAGGTTGTGGATGCATTGGACACCGATATACGAATTGCAGTCCAACGATTGTCGTATTTCTGAATATTTGGGCTATCCATGACCCGTTGTACGAGGCTGTAGAGGAGGCTGTCTGCAAGAAGTTTATTAACAGCTTGAGCCCTACACTTCAACACCTCAGGCAGAATGGAGGTATACAGCCAACCATTTCCATTATTCTAAACCAACAGTGGTATTAGGTAGGGTTGCCTGATTTCACCACTCCTCTGTAACTTTGCTGCCGATGATACTTTGGAGACGATTGTTAAGGAAGTGAAAGGTGGTAGGGTAGACCTGTTACTGGGTTAGCCTCGCTGATGAGGACAATATCGTTTTCCTGTGCAACAACATAAAAGCTACCAAAATGACACTCAATCAGTTGGCAATCAGTATCGGTAAGTATGGCGTGTGCTTCGCACCACCGAAGTGCAAAGGACTTTCACAAGATTGGCAGAAACCTGCATTCATCCTTCATAGTGGGTCGCTGAAAGTTGTCTAAATGTTTGTGTACCGGTATGGTTGTGTGAGTGCTGATGAAGATGCGACCGGTGAGATTTTCAATCGTATGTCAAAAGCAAGAGTAGCATATATTATTCTTTGGCGCCGTCGTGATGTGAACGGTGCTGTAAGACGTCTGGTATACAGCGCGTTGGCGCAGACAGTTCTGCTTTACGCTTGTGGAACGTGGCTTCTTTGAGCTAAGGATTTCTGATAACTTTGCGTTTTCCATCACTGTTGTCTCCGCTGGTTCGGTGTCATCCAGGGGAAATGCCATATAGGCAATTCTAAGATGAGATGACATGTTTTCGGGTGTGATGGAGATCATTATTTTATTGAATGGGGTCATTTTGAAATGTTTTCAATAGCTTAAACAAGTGTCACAAATCTTGTGCTAGAATCCTCAACACCGCACACTATTCGCCTGTTATGGGACTCTTTGAACGAAGTGGAAATAGTGAATACTTCTACGGATGTATCTCTGAGATTAGTCGTTTCATCACCGACATCTGTTTTTGTGCCCATTAATTTATCCGCTTCCTATGTCTTCATAATTTTGCTTTATAATTTTGTATGTTCATCTCCTAGCGTTTATGCTTTATCAAGTTTTTGTTGCAAGAATAATAATCATCTTAATAAAGGATATTCTTCCTTCGCGTACTCTCATACTCTCATATCACAATAAATAAGATGGAAACTGAAACTCTGTTTCTTGGATTTAAATTTCATATCCCATTTGAACGCATTAATCGAATTGATACAGAAACACCATATGAATACTTAAACCTACAACTTCACGATTTGAAGTCTACGGATGAGAATAGAAGAAGTTGGTTGACATTACCAGTTTTGCGTATCTCTATGTTACCAGACAAAGATCCTAACTAAACAGCATAGGTTGACGCTGAGAAAGCTGCACAAGAATGACAAAGTTGTTATGACTAGAGCTGATAAGGGGTCTGGTGTCGTCATAATGAATATAAGTATGACTACTTGCATAAAAATGCCGGTGATTTTGGGGGACTCATCGAGATTTTAAGTTGATAAATCCCAAGAGGATGCGACAGTTTGAATTGAAAACAAAGTAAGCAAGCAACTCAGGGAACTTTTGAAGAAGCAGTTGATTGATGGAGCAAACTATAATGAATCTAGAGGTTCACGACTATCCTTCATGTACAACCTTCCAAAAATCCGTAAGTCCAATGTTCCTTTGAGACCCATTTCGTCCATTATAAATTCAACTTGTCACAAATGGGCTCGTTGGTTGGCAACGAAATTGGAATCCATCAGAAAAGGGTTTGCAAATCATAGCTTGAAGGAGACATTCCAATTCTCTGAAGAACTGAATCGATTAAATATCTCAGATAAATTCATAGTATCACTTGATATTTCCTCATTGTTTACGAACATACCATTGGATTAAACGATAGACATAATCTGTCAACAATCTAATCTACTACCATTACCGAGAACAAAGCTCAAAGAATTACTACTCCTCTGTACAAAAGGTGTTCAGTTCCAATTTAATACTCAACTATACTTGCAAACTGATGGAGCGGCTATGGGTTCACCACTAGGACCTATTCTAGCTGATATATTCATAGCTCATCCCGAGCCAACAAGTTTGAACTCTGCGATCAAGGGAGCGACATATTACTTCAGGTATGTCGATTATACTTTTATTGTTTGTGATAATATGAATCATTCGTCGAAGTTGTTCGACACCTTCAATCAAGCTCATCCAAATAATAATTTTACAATGGAATACGAAAATGAGGAGAGATTCAATGTTTTGAATCCAAGTGTAAGACGGAGATGTGATGGTACAATAGGGAAAACTATCCACAGGAAAAACACGTGGCTTGGTCAATACTTTCACTAGGATAAAAAACACTGAGCTCAAAAGATGAACAACAAGAAGAATTCGGTATAATTATGAAGGCTCTTATAGAGAATGGATATCTTAAGAAATTCATCGTGAAGCGCGGAAAAGAATTTGAGAGACCAAAACATCCAACTGTTGAGAAGAAGCCTATTTTCCTTCGGCTAGCATTCAAAGGTGATGAGACATCTGAAAGAATAGACAAAAGAATGAAAGCTACACTAAGAAGTAGCTTTTCTGCAGGCAAACTGATCTCAGTTTACAATACATTATGCTCATTGACACAGTCGAAAGTAGACAACTACCCATCTCATGTCACCTCCAACTGCGTATATCAATTCATATGTGTTTGTAGGAAGAAGTAGATGGGATGGACCGAAGGAAAGGTGTCTACTCGATTTTATGAGCATATTCTGAGAAATCTGTCAGACTGGTGGTAGCCCAATCGCCAGGGACCTGATGAAAATAGGACATCAAATAGATGTTTCTGAATACTTCAGGATAATCAATAAACAAGGAACATCATGTTTATTACAGTTTGTGGAAGCTCTCGCTATCAAACATTTTCAACTTGATTTATGTACTCAGAAAGAGACTTTAATTAACCTTTCTTCACCTTGGTAACTGTATATAATTTCTGCATGTGTATGTATTTAGTCTTCCCTTTTCTTTATGATTACATCATCTCTTCATTAACTACTCACTGACTGTTTATCACCTAACGATTCTTCAGTTTTTCATGTAATTAAGTGACTTGTTATCTCTTAAACAGCCTTCTTTTATATTGATGTTTGCTTGTCCCCCCCCCCTCGTCGCCACACCACTGCTCCAGAATTCTCTATCTCTGTCCCATCAGATATAAATTACCATTGATTTTGCTTAAGATATGTGATTATTAATCGTGTGTTTCCTTGACTAACTCACTACCTTACTGTTAGTCTTGGATTTCAAATCTCCATTTTTTTCAACATATTTAAAGTGTATTTAAACAGCGTAATAAGACGAAGATTATCTGAAACATGTGATGTATTAGCGCCATACATTTCGAACAATCTGATCACACATGGACTTGTCGAACTATTTATGTGAAAATCTACGAAAAAGGTCAATGAAGTTAATAGGAAACATAGGATATAGGGACCAGTTGCTTTAAATATTTAGTGTGTTATGCCATTATTACTACCAATACTTCATTTTTACTGTAGACTGTTTGAAGTTGATGAAAAGCCATGAAATAAAATGAGCTCATTTTATTCTGCAAATGTCTTTGCTCTTGCATTGTTCAAATTACAATTAAGTTTAAAAGGTTTTCCAATAATCTTCAAGACTTGTCTAGTCACGTAGTGCGCCATAATCTTTCGTTTATTCTGTTGAAACGAGTGTTAATCGATAGTAGAAGATAAAATACTATGTAGGATCCTTATCTGTCGTTAAGAACGTCTTTCACTGATCAAACTGATGAAACTGGCAGTGAACATGAATTCCACCCACCAATCTTTAAATAATGATCAGTACTTGAATAAGCTTCTAAGTTCAATATTCTTGTGAAGCATCATCAACTTCCGCAGGAAATATTTTTTCGTTGAGAAATAAATTAGACAGTCAAACTATAGTTTTTAGGAAAAATCCACTAAGTGTACTGTATTGTCATTTAAGTGTAGTTTCCTGAGAACACTAAAGGGGGATAAAAAGGTGGTCGATTGATCAGCCTATATTGATAAGACATGATGCCTCATAGCCGAGTGATTGATCCATTGACTGGATTCGATTTGTCTTTAAAATAACTAATGGTCAAGAAGCCTAACGAACTGATCTTACTGTATAATTCAGTGAAATAAAACTTATTTATATACAGTGATTGGAGCTCAAAATAATCTGAACAGAAATCAGACAATTGAGTTAAGAATGAAGGTTACAGGAGAGTCAGTCGCTTGTTATCGGTGAGTATATGACTGCCTTACACCATCGACCAACAGATAGCAAACTCTTAGAACACGAAACCAGTCACTATTTTGTTAGCTGTTTGTTGTATTATTCATAATCATAGGTCGGTTGTATGCGTAAGTAGTCAATATTTTGACTTTTAAGAACTGTTCACTCATTTGTTTAGAAGACTGCTCAACTGATGGGATTCGTAACAGCTGCGGCCGTGGATTTATCGACCAAATATTCACACTGCCAGGTTATGGAAAACAGGCACGCTTACCGATGCCTGACAATAGCTGTATTTCCCGACCTGAAGGCGGCATTCGACTCCCTTGATCAAGAAGTCTTATGGCAATGTCTCACACTGAAAGGTGGGCCGAGTAAGTGCATCAACTTATTGAAGGCTCTCTATTCAAACACTAGTGGACGTGTTAGAGCCTATGGTGAAGTGTCCGGGGAGCTGTTCTCGTCGAGTTGTGTCGGTCAAGGTTGCCTACTGTCTCCATTATTAGATTTTATCATAGATATTCTTATGGAGGTCTCCCTCTCGTCACCTGACTACACAGAGGTTGACTTAATCGCAGAATTTTCGTTAGACCTATAATATGCAGATGACATAGTCATGTTAGGTGAAGACGCTGACAAGATGCAGAGTCTTCTGGACACTTTGAGTGGCAATTTGAGAATGTTTGGGGTACATTTCTCGCCATCTGAATGCAAATTGTTGCTCCAGGATTAGTCTTCAACGGTGCCACAGTTAACAGTAGAGAGTCAAGTGGTTGAGTGTGTTGACCACTTCACTTACCTGGGAAGTGGGATCAGCCCAGGTGGCTCAGTGGCCGATGAAATCTCTGCACGAATACAAAAGTTCCCACTGACTTTTGCCAACTTATGACACCTATGATACCGCCGTGATATCTGACTGTCTATTAAGGGTCGCGTGTACTGCACCTGCACAGCAGTCCGGTCTGTTCTACTCTACGGCGGTGAAACTTGGCCATTTAAGGTGGAAGACATGAGAAGGCTGGGTGCAAGTGTTTGACCACCGTTGCCTTCGTAGTATAAGCCGTATTCCGTGGTGTCACCACGTGAGTAATGCAGAAGTCAGGTGTGGAGTTTTAGGGAGTAGAGGTAAATCAGTTGACACGGTTGTGAACCTTCATGGATTGAGATGGTTGGGACATGTGTTATGTATGTCTAGTCGCTGTCTGCCTCGTACTTTATATTTCTTTTGACTGAATTTTCTTTCCTTCATCTTCCACTACACTGCCTTTTTACTTGATGTGGTGATATGAGCTGTGGCAACTCGGACTGTTGATCCTATATTGATTTTGATGATGATGATAACACCGGCGTTGGATGGGGGATCAGGTTATTTGTGCTTGATAATATTAATATTTGAATTCACCTGTCTTAAATTAATCTCAGTAAATTAACTGGAATTCATTTACTTATGTTTTCTATAATTTTTAGTTGATGATTCATTATAAATTAAATGAAAAATTCTTTGAAAGAATTCGATTGTTGGCTTTCATCATCTAGTTATTCTACTATCTATCCTGGCAAACGTTTGTTAAAAATTTCAACTGATTTAAAATTTGGCCAACGTGGTTTAATTGCTTGTTCTGAAATAAAAGCTGGACAATGCATCTACTCTATTCCACTAAATGATTTACGGTTTATTCTTACACCATTACGATGTACTCATCTATTCAACACTAGATGTCAATGTTTTAATGACACTGAACAGATTAAAATCACCTTGAATTCAATTGATATCCTCGTAGCTTTTATTTATCATTGTAAGTATACTACATCAACTGAATGTTGCCTAAGAAATATTTGGGCACCTTATATTTCTATCTTACCGGAAACATATTCAGATCCATTGTCATGTATACTATCCAATTATAATCATTTATATGAAAATATCTTCATTGATTCATCAAATTATTTTCATTCAACTGATTTAAATATAAGTTTAAAGCGATTATTAATACGTCTGTTGAAATCATGGAATCGTATTCAACCATTTATTAACAAATCTCATACACAAAGTGTATATAATATTCATAAGAAGTGTTACTCTCTACCTCCAAATGAATTTCTATGGGCATGGTGTACTGTGAATTCACGTTGTGTTTCATGTCCATTCAAAGAGTCAATGACAAGTGTTGAACAACTTTGTCAAACTATGTTCAATTGTGAACAGTTTTGTTTGAATAATATGCATATTAGTCATATTAAGGATAATCTACATGATAATGGTTATACAATTGCTGTAATACCATTTTTTGACTTTTTCAATCATAATCAAAATGTATCCACCTCTATGTCTGTGTCTAAAGATGGGAATACACTGGAATTATGCATAGATCGACAAATATCAGCAGATGAACAGGTAAAAAAAAATTTTCTTTTTAACTAAATATTAATCAGATATACTTTTGAGCTAAATGATTACAAGTGTACATCAACGTTTCTTACGATATTTATAATTTCCCGTTGTTATATACGGCCGAATTGCTCGACTTCTGTTGGCAGATGTGCTGCTATGCGGATGCCTCAATACTGGCAGATATTCATGGTGTTATATTGATCATGGTGACTAGCAAAGGGATCTAGGACGTACGTTTCGTCTTGTTTGGGACTCGTCAGTTGGATGTATCTGCGCCTCAGTAAGTGATGTTGTTTTCACTGAAACTTGAATCCAGTACCCATCACCCTGAACGCCGAGGCACGATAGCCACCTCTTGTGCAAGGGGAAACAGTAGTTATTGTGTTACGAATATCACCAGTGGGAACAACAATACACTGAGCCGCAGATACATCCAGCAGATGAGTCCCAAGTGGGACGATACGCGTGTCCTGGATTCCTCTACTGGTCACCAAGATCACTGTACGTCAACATGTTTTGTCAAACAGTTTAGAGTAAGTTAAATAGGTGACTACGAAGTCGATGCCTTCCTTGGTTAGTGATATGTCGATTTTCCTATATTCACGAATATACAGCTTAGCAGTAAATGACTTCGTCGAAAGGGAAATATTTCTTCGCTGCAACCGCCTCTTCTGCTATGATCAAATAGATGTATTCCACTGTTTAAAATGTTTTTTTTTATGTGATAATTTGTTTTCTTGAATTCATTTTATTTTCAACTGTAGGTTTTTATCAATTATGGACCACATGATAATTTAACTTTATTCACAGAGTATGGATTTAGTCTTCCTTTCCATGAAAATGACAATGATGTCATCTATTTGAGTTTTTATTTCCTAATGGATTTATTTGTTAAGTTGTCTACTGCTATGACGTCATCTTCGTCTTCTACCTCATTTCATCTAGAAGTAAGCATAAGCTGAGAGATTTTTATCTAGAGAACAAAGTTATCCTTGAATATTTTACTCAGTTCTGACAAAATTGAATTTACCTCAACCGAATAATCCTTCTGTTGTCAATGAGGATGATATCTTATGGAATTCAGTTTATTTATCTGTCAATAATCATCATGGTCCTTCATATCATTTAAGTCTTATATTATTCTTAATGTATACATTTATTTCCAATGGTTATAATGAAGAAAATCATATATCACTTGATAATGTTTATAATATTCTGAAGACTTGATTCATTCAACTATCCAACCTGTTTTATCTGAAGTCTATTCACTTCTGTTACATCACTTAGAATATGATCGTGAAAAAATAAATCAATTACAAAGATCAACGGATTTATCACTTTCTTCATCAGTAGTACCAGTGGAAATGATGAAGTTATCATGTAAACTGGAAAACTTTTATAAAGAATTTTTGTATTATTTTGATCAACGTGAATGTTTTATTAAATGTTTAATGATCAACGAATAATTTATTGTTTATGTTCTACATGATTAACATGTATTTATTTATTTACCTAAGTACCCAGCGGCTTCAGACATATTTTTTTCAGTGCAGCCTAGATATTAGTTGTAATTGATTTAACTGAGACACACCATTGACGACAGAAAAATGTCCACTGAATACCAGTGACATTATTAAGGCCCTAAAATTCCGCTGAGAGACTACATGTAGAGGAAGACTATACAGGCAGACTAACGGTGTTGCTATAGGTTCACCTGTTTCACCCATAGTAGCTAACCTATTTATGAGTAACTTCGAAGAAAGTGTCTTCACTCACTTACTAAAACCAGAAATTTGGCTGAGATATGTTAATGACACATTCATAATTTTAAAGTGCGACTTATACCAGGCATTCTTAGGTCGACTGACCTCTAGATCTACCAGTATCAAGTTCCACTCAGAAAAAGAAACGATTAAGGTGGAACTGCTTTTCTTTGATTGTCTTGTTAAGCGGAAAGATAATGGACATTTAGGTATAACCATTTTCAGGAAAGCAACTCTTTGGAACAACTATTTAGATTTCAACTGATCACATCCAATTACTGTGAAAGTTTGTGTTGCTTCCGGTCTTTTAAGGAGAGCACACACTCTAGTAACGAATGTAAATGAAAGAGTTAAGGAATTAAAATATGTGAAGAAACTTAAAATGAATAATTATGCGGTAAAATTCATTCTCATAATAGAAAATAACATTAAGTTAGATCGTAAAACTACTGAGTCATGGGCCTCAATAATATTTATCCCTTACAGATCACATACATCGGATGAAATTAGAAGAGTGCTCAAAAATGCAATATTGGAGTGTTCTACAGAACATCAAACACATTTCAGAGCATCTTAGTTCATTTGAAGGACGAGTTTTCCCTAGATTCACAATATAATTGTGTTCATAAAATAAAATGTTCAGACTATGATGCAATATACATAGGACGGAAATCGAAGTTAGTAAAAATGAACAGTGAATACCTTCCACCTGACCGTCTGGAAATCCAGTGGGATTGAAAAACCTTAAAACCACATCAGTCATAGCTCTACATCCCATAATTTGAGGTCAATAAGGTCGATTTTGACAATATGGAAAGTATTCAGAAAGGCTTTAGAAATTATAAAGATCGTCTCATATCAGAATCTGTTCATATGAAGTGGAATCAAAATTGTCTCAATGGGAATGAGGGAGTAAAACGTAGTTTCATCTGGTCTCAACCCACCTCCACATACTGATGTAAACATCGTACATCATGGCGATAACAACTATCAACACATGTATACATACAAATCTCAATCTGTAATTCATACACTGTTCACACAAACACAAAACACTATGCATGGATATCATCTTTATTCTACAATTCTGACAGTGCGGAATCATTCATGCAGAAGAGTACTCGTCAAGTTATCATATATAAGCTTAGGGGATATTGTAAATTCAAGTTAACTAAACTTTGATAAAGCTATTAGCACTAAGTAGCGAAACGTCAGTTGAAACAAAGTCATTTTGTGTTACATTCCCATTGGGAAATATAAATACCGAAAGGATAAATATTATTCACCGAATGCCCAAATTTTTTTAAACCATCAAATCTCAACTTTGCATATATATAAATCGTTAAAAGTAGGTTCACCGATGCATTGACAGTGTTTCTAAGCAAAAATCGCCATTGCAGTTAGATACCAGTTAAAGCAGAAATAACTCTATGACAGTACCTAACAACTGTTTCGTAATATTTTTTGTTTTAACTATGGTAATATTAACTTTATTCCATCTAATAAAATGTTTTTCAGCCAGCAGATTAAATTGATGTTATGGATGGATACAAATTAAGTGACTGGAATGGCTAGTTTCTACACTTATTCTATGCGAGTGTCTGGATTCCCCCTATCTGTTAGTAAAGGTGTCATGTATCATAGTTTTCAAGGCACCTTTTCATCCTATAGCAGCTCAGTTACGGACAGGTGTATCGATGAGGCAAAGGAATATTCATTTGTAAAGTGATTCTAAACGTCAGCTTAACAACTATTAAAAGTGACAATTAGGTTTCTGTACTTTATGAAGAGAAGCTACCTTTCCAACCGAAAGAGCTTGTACGTATTCATTTTCATCAGTTCGTATGGTTGGCAGAATAAAATCCGGCGTTTTCTATCTGCTTATTTCTTTGCTTGGAGTTTGGAGCGTCAAGTAATTAGTTACCCACGGTTTGACGAGATTCATCATTTATGCTGAGCTTCGTAATTTCAACGAAGTGGCTAAGTTGAAGGCACACAGTCAAGCGTATATGCCATTTAGAACGTTACCGTGTTAAGTCGTGTTGTCCGTACACGATCCTCTAACTAGTTAGTGGAAGCGCTTCAGTCGCTTGCCACCGTCTGCCGTATATACCATTCTTACCGGGCAACTCTATTGGTTTCTTTCGTGGTCTAACATGTATAAAGAATTAATGGTTGACCTCTATATATATGTATGTGCACACGTGTTTACCACTGAACTACTGGTAAATATGATTTACAGATCGGCTGCATAGATTATTCTTTCAATAGCCTTTATTAGACTACGTTTTAGTACGCTATTAGTTGCATCTCCATGGATTAACAAATATTAACTATATTTAAACACAATTGTACAGCTGCAGAAGATGATATCGCCGGAAAAAAATTGTTCCCTGAAGTCTTTTATTCTTCTTTAGTCTGATTAACTCACAGCGAACACGTTATAGCCCATCACAATGTCTAATCCACTGTAACAACCAGCTGTTGATAGGTTTTCATCTGGTCTGCGGATAGGTAAGTTGTTGTAGGAGGCAGATAGAGCAGTGTGAGTTTGGTGGTAACCACGAAAATCTGGAAGGGAAAAGAGGAAGAGAAAAAAATTGAGCTGATGACTCTGCAAGTACACAGAATGTACTTACATTTAATAATAAAAGATAACTGATAAACAGTAGAGCTTGACAACGAAAGAGGTGAGGCAGTCTAGAAATCGAAAGTGGAAGGTGAATGCATAATCATTTTGGATGCGTTACACTGCATATAATAAACTAAAGACTAATGCATAAATATGATGCAGATCAATTCATATGTAAGTCGAAAGTAGGCTATGCATATTGAGATAGCATGTTTTCTTTTTCTCTCTACAGATAATACACTTTAAATACGAAATATGAATTCATATCTGAGATAATTATATATTATATTATTATTAGTCCCTTGGGTTCCTAGTGGAACATAGGGCTTCAGTAGCACGTCTCCAGTGACCTCTGTTCTCTGAGATCTTTTGAACCTGGTTCCACGACAGCCCAGAAGCTCTCATTTCTTCCTCGTACGACCTCCTCCATGTCACCCTCGGACGTCCAACTAGTCGCTTCCCATGGGGATTCCACTCGAGGGCATGACGCGTGATGTCCCCAGTCGGCCTTCTCAGTGCATGGCCAATCCATCTCCACTTCTTCCTGCATATTTGTTGCGTGATAGGTTCTTGGTTGGTTTGTTCCCAGAGCTCCTTTGCTTATTCTTTCTGGCCATCTGATCTTCAGTAGCGAGCGTAAGCAGTTATTGATGAATGTGTGTAGTTTATTGGAAATGCCTTTCGTGACGCGCCAAGTCTCTGAACCATACAGAAGCACTGACTTGACTAGGTTGGTGTTGAAAATCTGAAAGTTGTTCACGCTTTATGCTGAGTGCAGTAAAGCAGATCTCCACACTGGTTTCAGGCTAATGAACGCCTGTCTTGCTTTTCCGATTCTGACTTTGACATCCTTGTCTGTGCCTTTGCCGCCTGTAGTTGAAACATTGCTTCCTAGATAGGTGAAGGAATTAATACTCGTAAAACATCTGTACGTGAGGCTTGTTATATTAATGGTAATAAGTGTGAAAATCGCTTAACTTCTTAGCGCAGGCCTTTCATAAGAGAGTATTTCTTACTATTGACCTTACAGTCAATTTAATTCTGTAAATAAAACGAGTATTTGTGATGATATTGTGTCTTACTCTTTATTTTAAAGATAAATACGTTCTATTTAGTTAGTAGTTAACTAACTGAGTATTTCTGACAAATTTAAAAGTAATATAGTTTGGAGTCTATGCAGATCGTATTTTTAGGGTAATATTCATCGCGTTTGCCATGAGACCTGAAGGTCCTGGGTTCAATCGCTGGTGAGGTCGTGGTGTTGCACCGCTGAAAAGTCTTATCTCAGCTGTCCGGTGCCCTCAGTTCTCCAACTAATGTCAGTCCATGCTGCTAAATTTAAGACTGGTTATCATTACAAGTTCATGTTATTATTATAAAAATTATGAACCGGCATGTTGAGCAGTGGGATAAATGTAAGACTTCATACATGTTCTTATCTGTTTAGGCTATCGCGTTTTGCAGCTACAGGAAAATAAAAGATGTCGAAAGAACTCAAAATCAGAATTTTATTCGAAAAATGTGATGTATTTGCCCAATACAGTCGGATCGCACATTTACTTGTCACGTCAATTTATACAAAACGAGAAGTTAAGCGAAGATATTTTTTTCGGCGATTTCATTCTCCATAGCTGTACAGTGGCAGTTTATACATTTTTGTTTAACTATATTGAATAGTTACAAGAGTTATTTAATTAAACCCAGTAACAAAGGTCAAGTTGAATGAAGATCAGAAATTCACAAGTGTGATGCAAGGTGAAAATTACTCACAATAGAGCATACAAATCAACATAACTGCCCAAATAGAATATATAGTTGCATAATATATAGAAATCAGATAGAATTCCTCCAGAAGCACTGAAAAAAGACACAGAGACAACAGTGGACATGCTCATATCATGAGGAGAGAGAAGAGGGGCATTCATTAGCTGGACCGATGAAAAAACCCTAGAAGATTTGAATTTCACCAACGATGATGATTTATATCTGATGTCTTGTCGCACAAACACGAAGATCTAAAATTGGCAGGAGAGGCAGGGTAGCGAAGACGTGACTTCCTTCAGCAGACGCAGAGAAGACAGCGGTAG